TTTCCTGATACTGTTGCGTATTTTTACACTTTTCAGACAAAACCAGGCCTGACAGAAGCGACAGGTTTATAAGAAAAGGGAAATGTGTTTATGTACCTGAAAAAAGTGCTGCATGTTTTTTTTATCCCTTCGGAAGCTTGTTATTGATGAGCCCTTTGATTTTATTCAAAGGAAGAACTCTCATTCAAGCAATATATACCAAGCAAGAGGAAACGCTTTGGTATAAAGCTATTTGTACTGTGTGATTTTCAGAAGTGGTCTTGTTTTAGATATTATTGTGTACACTGGCAGTAAACTTTGAGAGATACCCGAAGTTATTGGGTATCTCTGGTGATGTGGTTCGAAACAATGATGGAACCATATCTTGGTAAGGGCATATGTTATTTACTGATAACTGGTACACAAGCCCCTTACTCAGTGATTTCTTGCGAGTGAACTTGACAGACGTGTGTGGCACAGTGCGTGGTAATCGCCAAAAATATGCCAAGGTTTGACGCGGCAATCGCAGAGGTGAGGTGCAAGCCTTTTCTGCCAATGACATCATGGCATTTCGGTGGATGACAAACGTGATGTCACATTGTTGACATCAGTTCACACAAACGAAATGGTACCCAGTGGCAGGGACAACAGAGAGACCAATGAACCCATTCTAAAGCCGCAGCTGTCATGGACTACAACCTCAATATGCGCTTAGTGGACAAATGTGACATGCAGATTGGGTTTGCAGACTGTGTACGCAAGAGTTATAAGTGGTATATCAAACTTTTTTTCCATCTTGTTGATATCTCTACGCAAGAGTTATAAGTGGTATATCAAACTTTTTTTCCATCTTGTTGATATCTCTATGCTAAATGCTTATAACATATACAAGTTGAAGACCAACAAAACACCAAAATATGGTGAATTTTGCCTGTCAGTAATCAGACAAATAATTGCAAAGTACAAAGGAGCAACTCCTGCAATAGACCAGCGCCCACAGACGTCATCTCGTTTGAGGCCTGGTGATCACTACCCCATACAACTGCCTCCTACTACTGCCAAGAAAAATGCTCAGAAGAGGTGTTATGTATGTATGCATACCCCCAAAACGCCCACAAACACGCAGAGACACTCGTTTTATGTGTGAGGAGTGTGAAGTGCCCCCCCTGCATATACCCCTGTTTCAAAGAGTTCCACAAGCTGCAGCAGTTCTAGGAACGTGGTTAGTGACTGTACATATTTTATATATATTATGGAACAATAGTAATAAAACATTGTTTGTATTGTTTTTTTTGTGTAAACAAAGTGTATACACAAACTAATAGTGATAAGTTTGTTCTGTTTTTTGTGTTGTAAATAATGAGTGTATATTTGAACCCAATGCACCTTACATTGGTCTCACGGCCACATAAGTTACCTGGAAAAGAAAAATATTGAAAAATGCAAGAAACCTTTGAATTAGAGTAAATAAAAGAATACCGGGTGGGCGGCAGTCGCCGCTGTTGCCGTACGCACGTCAATTTCTGCAAACTTTGCGGCTCTATATCTCAGTAAGTACTGATGGCAAAAATTTTTTTTAGGCTTAAAACACTAGTAAAAATATTCCTAACATTTTCATAAGAAAAAATAATTTTTTTTTTTTTCGAATATTTGGCGACATAGAATGACAGTTTCAGAGAGGGGCCTGAAACAGTCAAAGGGTTAAAAGAAAGGTCCGCTGACATAATTATTCCCAGGTCTTTTACATGTTCCTTACGTTCTATTTGGTGACCCTCTTGAGTTTTGTATATAGTGTTCCTTTTGAGTTCTTCATTCTTTCCATACCTAAGCAGATGGAACTTATCACCAATGAACATCATGTTGTTCTCCACTGCCCAATGAAAAACCCTGTTTATGTCTTCCTGGAAGGTATTCTATAGAAACACTTTGAAGGTAACCCAGAAACTGAACAAGATATACCTTATCATGGTTATCGAAGACTAACAATACATGTTCAGGGAAAGGAAATCATGTCTCATTAACCCCTAAACGGTCCAAACGTATATATACGTTCTTACCGCTAGCGCACCAAATGTATATACAGTGGACCCTCGCCTAACGATGGCATCGCATAACGTTAAATCCGCCTAGCGATACATTTTAACGCAAAAGTTTTGCCTCGCCTAGCGCTAAAAAACTCGCTAAGGCGATTCGTCCGAGACGAGTCCACGTGCGGCCTGAACCAGCCTCACTTGTTCCGTGGGTGGCAGTGTTTACAAGCCAGCCTCCGCGGTCACATCCAAGCATACAATAGGAATGTTTCATATTATCACAGCGTTTTTAGTGATTTCACCTGCAAAATAAGTGACCATGGGCCCCAAGAAAGCTTCTAGTGCCAACCCTGTGGTAAAAAGGATGAGAAATAATATCGTACCACAGTCAGCTGCTGCTGCACCACCATCAGCTGTTGCTGGACCAGTCAGTGTTGCTGCCCACAGCTGCTGCTGGCACCACAGTCAGCTGCTGCTGCACCTCAGTCAGCTTTTTGCTGCACTACAGTCAGTGTTGGCTGCACTACAGTCAGCTGCTGCTGCACTACAGTCAGCTGCGCTGCACCAAAGCTGCTGCGGGCACCACGGTCAGCTGTTGCTCCCACCACAGTCAGCTGTTGCTGTTGTGCACCACCATCAGCTGTATTACTCGAAGATGTGGAGAGTGTGTTGTTGGTATGGCTTAACATGAAACAATTACAAAGAAACGATTAACCCCAGAGGCTTAGCCACCCAGGATAACCCAAGAAAGTCAGTGCATCATCGAGGACTGTCTAACTTATTTCCACTGGGGTCCTTAAGCTTGTCCCCCAGGATGCGACCCCCCAACAGTTGACTAACACTCAGGTGAACAGGAAAAAATGCCTGGAAACTAGTGCTCATATTGGTGAGGTTAGTGGGGGAGGATGTGGAAGAGTTAGTGGAGGAGGACAATGACGAACTAACCACTGATGAGCTGCTAGATCACTTCAACAGCAAGAGGCCAAAACCTGAGGAAACTGCTTCGGAGGAGGGAGAGAAAAATTGAAGAAGTTGCCTACTTCAAAGATTAAGGAAATGTGTGCAATGTGGCTTGAAGTGCAAACCTTTTTTGATGAAAATCACCCTCACACAGCTATTGCAAGCCGTGCTGGTGACTATTACACTAACAATGTTGTGAACCACTTTAGGAAAGTCATAAAGGAACGAGAGGTACAGACCTCTATGGACAGATATATTGTGCGACAGAGGTCCAGTGACTCTCAAGCTGGTCCTAGTGGCATTAAATGAAGAAGGGAAGTAACCCCGGAAAAGGACTTGACACCTCGTCCTAATGGAAGGGGATTCCCCTTCTAAACACTAAGACCATCCACACTCTCTCCTCCTCCCATCCCATCAGTCATCACCAGATCTTCAATAAAGGTAAGTGTCATGTATTGTACATCTCTTCTTCAGTTTGTGTGTATTGAAATTAATATTTCATGTGGTAAAAAATTTTTTTTTTCATACTTTGGGGTGTCTTGCACGGATTAATTTGATTTCCATTATTTCTTATGGGGGAAAATTAATTCGCTTAACGATAATTTCGCCTATCGTTGAGCTCTCAGGAACGGATTAATATCGTTAGACGAGGGTCCACTGTATATGTTTTATTTTTCCTGCCTCCAAATTTGGCATGATTGGCACTGAATGCCAAGTCAGCATAGAATGGGTCTTAACAACTCGATGTGCACCATATTAAAAAAATTTGAGACCACTTAGTATCTTGTTGGAGTGCCAGTTAAACTGAGCACCAGCTAGAGCAAACAGTGCGGCAAACACCAAGGATTCACTGATGTAATGTCATATTAACACTCCCTTTTAAGAGGAAAGTGATGTTATCCCCAATTTTTGGGGTTTCTGTCTGTCTCTGTCTATCTGTCTCTGTCTCTTATCGCCTCAAAATTTACACACAACTACAATTTTACATAGTGTAAATTACCTAGGATAACCTAAAAAATCTAAAAGTGCTATACTGTGCTTGTAGACATAAATGCATAAGAATCCCTGTTTGGTTCACAGTGCCTCTGTCTGAGAAGAGAGAGAGAGACAAGCAGAGAGAGAGAGAAAGAGACAAGAAAGAGAGAGAAAAAGAGACAAGCAGACAGACACACAAGACAGAGAAAAAGATAATCAGAGACAGAGATATGAGCTCATCAAATGTCACCCCTTATCTCTGCACCCTCGCTGGCGCCCATCAAATGTCATCCCTTATTTCATCTTATCACTGCCCTCCGGATTGCTTGTCATTGACACTTATTTTTACACATCACTTAAAGGGAACTTTTCCTTCTTCTCCTCACCCCTTCCCTTTTCTTCTTCTATACTCCCGTGTATCCAAAACATTGCTGGGACCTATAAATACTTTGTATATATTCCTAGACAATAGTAAATGACCAAGGCAGGTGTAAAGATTGGTTATGAAATGACAAGAACTACAATAAATTGTAACTATCAGAAAAAAATTATATAAAATATAAAAATAAGAAAAAATGGTATATCGGCAACACTTCAAGCAGCAGGACTCGATGTTGCCATCAGGTGAGCATTAAGTGCCAACTTTGCAGCCTCATATCTCAGTAAGTACTGACCCTAATTTTTTTATTTTAATCCTATAACACTTAGAAAAATTTTCTCATATTTTTTTTCAATTAAAAAAAAAAAAGCTATTTTTTTATTTTTCAAAATATTCAGGGCACTGGGCAAGAGGACGTATATATACATTTGGATCGTTTAAGAGTTAAGAACACTGCACAGTACATGAGTGTTACAATAGGATGAAATGCCAAAACTTTTTACCACAGAGGTGTGTGGGGTAAAAAGTTTCAGCATTCCTCGATAAAATTTTAGAAAACTGAGATTTCACAGAAATTAATAGACAGTGTCATACCATAAGTTGGCTTGTATAAAGACATTTAACTGCATACTGTATAATATTTTTTGGATGACTTTTTTTTTTTTTTTTTTACTTACCTGCAGAGTTCAAATTTCTGAACATTTTCTGGAATGTGGAGAGCTTTACGGACGATTGGGTTATTGAGATACATCAAGAGGTCGGTGCCATTTGTGCAAGGAGGATCCAATGTCAAGGTACTAATCCCGAAAAAAAAATCTTCAAAAATGATTATATCTAAGTTAAAACAAATAAAGATAAATTAAGGGCACATGTGCAACACTTGGTTATCTTTAACCCTTTCACTGTTGAGACCCCTGATCCTGAACTCACTCTCAGTATTGAAGAATTTAAAAAATATATATATATTTTTTCTATTGAAATGATAGAGAATCTTTTTTCAATGGTAATGATGCCAAAAGTAAGAAATTGATAGAAAACGTATGGAATTACGCTCTCACGAGGTTAGCAGTCTCGGCAATATATACGCATCAGCAATTTTGCCCACTCTGCGCCCTATTTTTGGCTAATTCCATTGTTCCAGTCGACCAACCTCACAGCTATTTCTTTAGAACTCCATTAGTTCTGTCGAGGGAGTACAAGAAACCACCCATTTACCGATTTCAACTACCCAATAAAGTGGGCAGAAATTGGCAAATTTCACACAAATTTCAAAAGATGCCAATTTCAAAATAGGGTCCAGAATAAATAATGCAGACATTCCTGGCACTAAAATAACATTTTCTCTGTTCATTAGTCACATCTTCAGGCCCCTCTTATATTACTTTTGCTTTCCATTTTGAATTTTTATTCACACAAAAAAATAGAAGACTTAATGTTAAGCAGACTACTGCATTATTATATGATTATATCTACCTGGAGGGCATTCCAGGGAACAACGCCCCTGTGGCCCGGTCCACAACCAAGCCTCCTGGTAGATCAGAGCCTGATCAACGAGGCTGTTACTGCAGGCCGCACGTAGTCCAACGTACGAACCACACCCCAGCTGATCTGGCACTGACTTAAAGTATCTGTTCAGCTCCCTCTTGAAGACAACCAGGGGTCTATTGGTAATGCCCCTTATGGCTGGTGGGAGGCTATTAAACAGTTTTGGGCCCCGGACACTTATTGTGTTTTCTCTTATTGTACCAGTGACACCCCCACTTTTCACTGGGGGTATGTTGCATCGCCTGCCAAGTCTTTTGTTTTCGTGGGGAGTGATTTCTGTGTGCAAATTAGGAATCAGTCCCTCTAGAATCTTCTGGGTGTAGATTATGATATACCCCTCTCGCCTGCGCTACAGTGAGTACAAGTCCAGTGCTTCCAAGCGTTCCCAGTAGTTAAGGTGTTTGATGGAACTTATACGTGCAGTAAAGGTTCTCTGTACATTCTCTAGATCTGCAATTTCACCTGCCTTGAATGGGGATGTTAATGTACAGCAGTATTCCAGCCTAGAGATAACAAGTGATTTAAAAAGGATCATCACTGGCTTAGCATCTCGTCTTGAATGTTCTCATTATCCATCCTATTTTTTTCCTCGCAGATGTGATAGTGGCATTGGTGTGGTCCTTGAAAGTGAGATCTTCGGACATTACCACACCCAGGTCCTTCACAATACTTTTCTGCTCTATTGTGTGAGTAGAGTTTGTAGTATATGCAGTCCTAGCTATTATTTCCTTCAGTTTTCCATAATGGAGTAGTTGGAATTTGTCTTCATTGAACATCATATTGTTCTCCATTGCCCATTGGAGAACTTGGTTTCTATCTTCTTGGAGATTTGCCGTGTCCTCAATGGATGACACTCATGCAGATCCTAGTATCGTCTGCAAAGGATGATACAGTGCTATGGTTTACATCTCTATGTCTGATATGAGAATGAGGAACAGGATAGGGACAAGTACTGTGCCTTGTGGAACAGAGCTCTTCACTATGGCAGCTTCTGATTTAACTCTGTTTACCACTACTCTTTGTGTTCGATTGGTTAGAAAGTTGAAGATCCATCTGCCTACTTTGCCAGTTATCCCTTTAGCATGCATTTTGTGTGCTATTACACCATGATCACACTTGTCAAAGGCTTTTGCAAAATCTGTGTATACTACATCTGCATTCTGTTTGTTTTCCAGTGCATCTAAGACCATATCACAGTGGTCCAATAGTTGCGAGAGGCAGGAGCGACCTGCTCTGAAACCATGTTGCCCCAGATTATGCAATTTCTGGGAGTCCAAGTGGTTTGCTATCCTGCTTCTTAGAACTCTTTCAAAGATTTTTATGATGTGGGATGTCAAAGCAATTGGTCCATAGTTTTTAGCTACTGCTTTGCTGCCACCTCCATGGAGTGGGGCTATATCCGTTGTTTTCAGTGACTGTGGAATCTCACCTGTGTCTATGCTCCTTCTCCATAGCATACTTAGGACTTGGGAGAGGGGTTTCTTGCAGTTCTTAATGAACACAGAGTTCCACGAGTCTGGGTCTGGGGCTGAGCGCATGGGCATGTCATTGATGGCTTTCTCAAAGTCTAGCGGAGTTAGGGTCATGTCAGAAATTTGGCATACACTGGTAGGGTTCTGAGGCTCATTCATGAAAAAAAAATGTTTGGACTGTCTATCTTTAGACTGATTAGTGGCTCGCTGAACACAAAGTCATATTGGGATTTCAGTATCTCACTCATTTCTTTGTTGTCATCTGTGTAGGATCCGTCTTGTCTGAGCAGGGGCCCTATACTAGAAGTGGTTTTTGCCTTGTTTTTGGCACATGTAAAGAAATATTTTGAATTTCTTTCTATTTCACTAATCCCTTTTAGCTCCTCTTCTCTCTCCTGGATCCTGTATGAGTCCTTTAACTTTAGCTCAATATTTTCCACTTTCCAGGTTAGTGCTTCCTTCTGTGTTTCAGATAATCTGGCATTCTTGAGGAACTCAGTGCTTCTTCACCTTCTTCTGTAGAGGGAGTTTTCTCTCTCAGATTACTTCTTCTCTTCTTTTTTCTTAGGGAAATATGCCTTGCACATACTTCAGCTACCAGGAGGTTGATCTTTTCAAGGAACGGGTTAGGGTCCATGTAATTTAAGATATCTTCCCAACATGTTTCAGTTAGGGCATAGTTTACCTGATCCCAGTTGATGTTCTTGTTGCTGAAGTTAAATTTGGTAAAAGTACCCTCATAGCTGTATGCATTTTGCTGATCAGGATGCCTGTGCATGTAAGTTTGGACGTCAATTAGATTGTGATCAGAATTAGTTGTTTTTTATATTGTTTAATTTCTTACCAGGTACTCGTTATTTGTGAAAATAAGGTCTAGTGTGTTCTCTAGTCTTCTTGGCTCCAATATCTGCTGACTTAGGGTGTGTTTATTGCAGAAATTCAGCAGCCCCTGTGTGTGTGACTTTTCATCTGACCTGCCTCCAGGGATTATTTCTGCTCCAACATTATTTGCTATATTCTTCCATTTTGTATGTCTTAGATTGAAGTCACCAAGCAGTAAGATGTTTGGAGATGGGGCTGGAAGATTTTCCAGACAGGAGTCAATTTTTGATAGCTGTTCTTTGAACTGTTGGGAAGTTGCATCTGGTGGCTTATATACAAGCACAGTGGTACCTTGACTACGAGTGCCCAACTTATGAGTTTTCCAAGTTATGAGCCAACGCTTTGTCAACTTTTTGCTTTGAGTTGCAAGCCAAAATCCGTGTTATGAGTGAGCTTCAGATATGCAGCCACTAATTGGCGAAGTATCTGAAGTCAAATCCAACTCTGTATGCAGGTACTTCCTCTCATCCCACATTCTCTTCCATGATATAACTGGAAGGATAATACTCCCACACTAATCCCAGATTGTAGTGAGGCACCTCATCCCTTGTTTGGTTCATGTATAAATCCGGGGAAGAGGTAACCTCCATTTCAGCACTCAGAGTTTTCCAGAAACATTAATTAAGGTGGGTGGAGTACTGATAGTCAGAGGCGTTGTAAGGGGGGCAGGGGGGGGGCTGCCCCGGGTGACACCATTTAGAGGGTGACACCATAGAGCCTCTAAAGAAGGTGACACTAACGCCCAAAACAGTGCCTCACCAACATAAGAGAAGAATCCTTCATTTCTGTATAGCCTATTATATATTAACAAGGTACAAATAAGCCTATATAGGGAAAATCATTGATTTTGATATTGAGATAGGTGATTTTGCATAATTGAAGGCAAGGAAATGCAAGATCAGATTCACTGAGATGTTACCTGTACTCAAGGTCATATCGGAATTTGTGTTTCTCAGATATTGCAATGTTTTTCTTTATTTTTCAAGTTCTTTTTTTTTTTTTTTTTGGCATTGTTGAAGAATAATAAATGTAGGATCTGTTGCCTGTACTCAAAGTGGTATTTGAGTTTATGTTTCCTCAATACAGTGGACCCCCGCATAACGATCACCTCCGAATGCGACCAATTATGTAAGTGTATTTATGTAAGTGCATTTGTATGTGTATGTTTGGGGGTCTGAAATGGACTAATCTACTTCACAATATTCCTTATGGGAACAAATTCGGTCAGTACTGGCACCTGAACATACTTCTGGAGTGAAAAAATATCGTTAACCGGGGGTCCACTGTATTATTACGTTTATTTACTTTATCATTAATAAAGTTGAGAAGTATTCTCCTGTTCAGTTTATGGTCCTTAAATGTTCTCATTGCTAAACATTTGTCATTGGTCATGCAGTAGTGACGTAACTGGAGTTTACCCCCCATACCCCCGCCCTTGAATTTCATGGGGGTGACACCAGAGATTCCGCCCCGGGTGACACCAGAGATGCCGCCCTGGGTGACACCATCTCTAGTGACGCCTCTGCTGATAGTGGTGGGTGGAGTACTGATAGTGGTGGGTGGAGTACTGATAGTGGTGGGTGGACTACAGATAGTGGTGGGTGGAGTCTTGATAGTGGTGGGTGGAGTACTGATAGTGGTGGGTGGAGTAGTGATGGTGGTCGGTGGAGTACTGATAGTGGTGGGTGGAATACTGATAGTGGTGGGTAGAGTAGTGATGGTGGTGGGTGGAGTCGTCAATTCTTCAACTTGTTGGTTTTCAAAATTATTCATCACAAAAATGAAAATAATATGTGCATTCACCCTAGGATTTGGGTTTGATGATTTTTTTATCTCAACAGTAGTCTCCTGCCAAAGAAGTGTAACCCAATTAATAAAGAGTGTTTAAAGGCCATTCTGGACT